AGTTTAATAAAGAGAGCTACTGGGAAATAATTTTCAGAAAGGCTTGAGATGACTTAATAGCTGGGTTAACATTTAGGTTATTTGTTTCAATGTCATCATTGCTTCATCCTGTTCATGTAGGGAAGAATTTTAATCCTGGCTGTTTCCAAATCCCTTTATAAGAGGGATAACTTCTGTGACTGGGAGATCATTTATTACCTTCTGTTACACTCCAGCTAGTGGAGTTGCCGGACTTACAGTCGGGTGGATGCTCTCAGGCCAGGTGCAGAAACCGCTTGGAAGCCAGTGTGCAGTGCAAGGGGCGGGTAGCGCAGTGGATGGTGCCTGGCAGTGTGAGGTGCTGCTTTGTTTACCGTAACACCCTGAGGTTCCCCTCCAGAGTTTTCAGGCCAAGCTCAAAGACTCCTCCCTGCCCTCGCCTTTGGCTTCAGCACTGGTCTTAGCTGTTACTGAGACATTCATACTTTGTGGAATACGGTTCTGAGACAGGCTGCTGTTCACGTCCTCTTTTCTTGCCACTTTCTCCTGCTCAGTTTCAGGCAGTACACCCAGCCGCCCAACAACCAGCGATCACCCAGTTCCCTGTGGTGTCCCAGGGAAGCTCTCAGCAGCAGCTGATCCAGAACTTCTACCAGCAGCAGCAGCAGCTGCTGACTCAGCAGGCTGCCTTGCAGCAGAAGACCGCAGTGGCAGCCGCACCGCAGCCCCAGGCACAGCCGGCCGCAGCCTCCCAGCCACCCCCTGCCCAGGAGCCAGTGGTGAGAATCAGCCAGAGTGGGAGCATGCAGTGAGGGCTAGGGAGACGGTGGGAAAGGAGGCGGCGGCAGCCGCTGTGGGGCCCTCTGGACTAAGGCGAGGCTGCTTCCCCACCCTTGTGGTTAAAAATAGTTGCTCGTTTCTCCATATAGCCAGGAAAAGGATGAGCTATTCTTTGGAGGGTAAAGGTTTTAGAAAAATGATCCGAGACTGCTGATGAAGATGAACTTTGTTACTTCTCACTTTAATATTAGACTGGCAGCAAGAGCTGTTCATTGTCTTTGTCCGGGCCAGTGTTGGACAGTCAAGGACCTAGGCAGAATCAGAGCCAACCCCTTTCCCTTCTTCAAGGGGGCAGTTTAACCACCATGGCCTTTCCCATCTTGGGAGGTTCATGTAGGCCCCCACCTTCACCCTGAGTCCTGGCAGTGTTGTGTTTATTCTTTGTCGTGAATGATATTACTGGCCACTTCATTTGAATCTACTGTGCCGCACCCTTCAGGGACCTACTTGCTGAGACCGTTTGCGGGGGCCTAATTCCCCTCTGGGCACCAGAGCCTCTGACTGTTGTTTGAGCCATCTTGTCAGTTTAGGAACTGGGCATGTTCACATCTGGATATTGGCTGAGTATAGAATCATCCTCTTCTAATTGACCTCTGTGGTTACATCCTCAGGCATGTGGTGCTTTGGCCTTTAATGACTGCCCTTAATTCTGTACTCACATTTTTCTGAGCAACAGTGGTAGAAAATTTTTGAGTGATAGAAAAAGGCATTTTACATACCCAGCTGATGGAGTATCATAGCTAAGCTCTTATTCCCAGGGAAGTCCAACTGCTAGAGGAACAAAGGAAAATAAGAGACCATCTTTCTGAAGATTGATTTCTGATAGAGTTTTGTTGCTCATCTTAAACCAGAAAACCTACATCCCTTCAGAAGGAAGCAGTGCTGTAAATAGATTGTCTTCTTTAAGTCTCAACTAAGTGTGTATTCAGTGTCTTTGCACCTTCGTTTCTGAAACAGCTCAGTCTTCCTGCAGGTGTGTGGCAGACAGCTACTCTATATTTTTAACAAGAGATGAAGTTCCTCTTGTTAATGGAAAATGAGTTTTTAAAAGATTATTGTGTCAGATAGCTAGTTGAGATCTTAACTATCAAGTCCAGTCTTCATTTAATAGAATTGGAACCTGAGGCCTAGGCTAGAAAGAAATTACCTAAGACACACAGACTGGTGGCTGCAGAGCTGGGACAAGAACCAGAGAATTCTGATCTTTTTTCAAGGATAATAACAAATGCTCATCCAGGGTGATAGCATGATCAACTCCACCGACTATACACTTTTTATGGGGTCCCCCTCTGGTATCCCTGACAAGAGTATCTGCTTTCTTGGGAATGAACTATGAACCTTCTCCTTCCTTGGATGAAAAAAATACTTTGAACACTTTGTTCAGGGGTAGTTGGTTGAGGGTATAAAGAGGGAACAAGAGCAGAATGTGCTTCAGCAAGGAACCAGAGCTTTCCAGCTTTAACCCATCCCTTTCTCTGATGACCCTTTGTAGGACTTACCTAGAGAAGCAATATATAAGTAAGTATATATATAAGTAAATATAAAGTATACCCTGCAGCCATTTCTCAGCAAGAATCTGCAAGGGGATGGTGGCCATAGCCCACAGATGTTTATTGCAGTCTTAATAATAGCCAAAATCATGGAAGCCACCTAACTCGTTCCAACAACCCAACTGTGCAGCCATTAAAAATCATGGTTATAAAGTCTGTATAACTGTTTGGAAACGCTCATGAGGTAATGCAAAAGGAAATATGAAATTATGGGAAAGGTATGTACTTGAAATAGACTTATATATAAGATACCAAAAGATAAGAACATATTAGAGTAGTGGAATGGAAGTCTGGGTGGTTTTGCCTCCTTGTCTATATTTCTTGATGGGGTGGTACTCCTTTTATCGTTAAATATGTTATTTTTTTTTAAAAAATCTTTAGCAAAACAGACATCAGAGTCTACCTTGCTTCTCCTTCCCCTGGTCTGTTTCTCCCTCCTCCCCCATCCCAATCCCATTTTTGGATGAGGAAGCATCATGGTGCAGGAAGGAGAGTTCTGAGCAGTAGTCAAGAAACACAGATTCTGTCCTCAATTGATCCTGTGACCTTGGAGCAAGCACTTAGCCTCGGGAGGCCTTGGTCTGGTCTCCACTGAAACAAGGGAGTTGGAATCCACGTTTGCTTTTAACTCATCATTTTGAGAATCTGATGGAAGAGAAAGCTGCCTGCCTGACAGGGTTGTTGTGGGGAGTGGCTGAATAGGTGGCAGCCGGTTTGAATTGGTAGCTGTGATAGAATATGGTGTCCTCATGACAGAAGCATCTATTCTTCAGTGTGCTGTGTGCAGAGAATAGGCAAGAGGAGTGGAAAATGTTCTCCAAGTAGTCTAGAGTCTTCAAATTAAAGGGACTCAAAAGTTAAGTACCCTTTTCAGAGTAATGAATGTCTTAAACTCTAAGAAATAAGCAAATCTAGTTCTATACTTAAAGCCCTTCTGGGCCCTGTGGGTACTGGCTTTAGGTTGGTTGTTGCAGGTGCAATTCTGGACCCCAGAGGAAGTTGTGGCGGTGGGGCTCTGATCTTCTTCACAGAACACTCTGCTTCTCGCTCAGAGATGCAGTCAGCT